GTCATCAAACATCTATTGATCTATTCTAAGGTATTATTCATCGGTTTAAGATTATATTCCAAACGCCCCTTGCGTTAAAGTTGCTTCAACGGGTCACAATGACACGTAATGAACAACAGAGCCTGAACCCCCCTCCCCCCAACACACCTCTCACCCCTCGGGTCATCTTCAGTCAGTTTTACGATGAGCATGGGGACCCGTGAAGATCCGGGTTAGAATAGGTCTTCGGCGTGACGAGCAAACGCTTAACCACTCGGCTACCCCTCTGCCTTTATATACCACGGACATGGCCTTTCTTGTCATTGCATCGTCCTCTGTCTATACCAGGTCGCTGAGTTGATTAAAGATGTTCATATGCCGCATTTATACTTTCATTTACAACATATTGAATGTGCAAGAAGGTGGTTTCCATACTGTTTTCCCGTGTCAGGCAGGTTTATTTCTGAGGTTCACAGGCGATTTACAGGAGCTTTTCATTGCCCCATATAACGAATGGAGAGAACTCCAGTAGCATAATCGGCGTATAATACCAGTGTTTGTTTGGGCTTAGGGTTGTGGTGGCATGTTGGCCTACCACGCAGTCCCTTGGACAAGGATTGATGATGCAGGACCGTGTAGACCAAACATTGATTATCGTTTCAACTCTCATGTACGTGTTGAGACTGTTGTCTGAGCACACCGTGATAAGTGTGACAGAACCCCCATACCGATCACCGCTCCCACCCAGACCGTTATCGCTCACCCCATACCGATCACCGCTCCAACCCAGACCGTTATCACTCACCCCATACCGATCACCGCTCCAACCCAGACCGTTATCACTCACCCCATACCGATCACCGCTCCCACCCAGACCGTTATCACTCACCCCATACCGATCACCCCTCCCACCCAGACCGTTATCGCTCGCCCCATACCGATCACCGCTCCCACCCAGACCGTTATCGCTCGCCCCATACCAATCACCGCTCCCACCCAGATCGTTATCGGTCACCCCATACCGATCACCGCTCCCACCCTGACCGTTATCACTCGCCCAATACCGATCACCGCTTCCACCCTGACCGTTATCACTCACCCCATACCGATCACCGCTTCCACCCAGACCGTTATCGCTCGCCCCATACCGATTACCGCTCCCACCCAGATCGTTATCGGTCACCCAATACCGATCACCGCTCCCACCCAGACCGTTATCACTCACCAAAAACCGATCACCGCTCCCACCCAGACCGTTATCGCTCACCCCATACCGATCACCGCTCCCACCCAGACCGTTATCGCTCACCCCATACCGATCACCGCTCCCATCCAGACCGTTATCGCTCGCCCCATACCGACCATCGCTCCCACCCAGACCGTTATCACTCACCCCATACCGATCATCGCTCCCACCCAGACCGTTATCACTCACCCCATACCGAACATCGCTCCCATCCATACCTTTATGCCCTATCTAATCCTCTCGTTCCGGATACTCATCCTCACCGCAGTGACCCAGACACATATTTTCATCCCACAGTCAACACGACTCTTACCCAGACAGTTATGCTCATCTCATCCCATCCTCATCACCATCCCATCCCCAACTAGTCTTCACCCACTCAGGTCCTTCTAAACATCATCTCCAACCAGACCCCCTCCTCCCCAACCCCTATTGCCGACCCCCAGATAACCACCCCAGCCCTCCTCAGAAGAGGAGTATCAGCTTCAGATTGACATACAGGCTAATTAAGATGGTTCATCAACTATCTAGACCGCGAGTCCCCCGGGGCGATGTGGCGTAGATTCTGTTTCTGTATGCTGGCGTGATGTCCGTCACTGCCGCCACTGCACAACATGCCCCCTTTGAAGTGCAAACACAATTACGTCACACCATTTCCTCTGAGAGAGACGACTTCCGTCGGTGTGTTCTCTCAACAATTTTGTATCACAAATTACATGAACGTATGAATCTGGCAGTACATTGCTGGTGTCTGTAGGCCGAAACTGATGGAGGTGAAATGGGGTTTTAACGTCGCGTTCAAGATTATTACAATTATGTAGCCACGTGTATGCACGTGTGCGTGCGTAAGTGCGTGTGCGTGGATAATACCGGTTTTATAGTGCAAGATCACTGAGATACCATGCCGCAGTATAACATGAATACCTACAATAACTAAGAGCCGACCAGCCCTTAATGCCGAGCACCAGGCAGGGTAACAACAAGTAACATCTTTTAACGTGTTTTGGTATGACGCTACGGTGGATCGAACCTCAGACCTTCCGCTTTCTGGACAGACGCTGCATCCTCTAAACCACGTAGGCGGTCCGCTACTGATGTTAGCGTACAGATGATTGACTTTTTAAATCTGCCCGACTTCAAGACTTGAACGATAAACCTCTTGAACCGCGTGAGAACATGAACTATGTGTATTATATGTCTCTCAGCCTTAGACCCTATTTTTTATTGCCCTTAAATACTACCAGTCAAAAAGGTCTACCAGCATTGGATTTTTACTAGTCCCCAGCAAAATTGAGTAGTCTCGGGCCAGCGGACTAGTGGACATGGGAGAACTTTCAAGGATATGTATGCCACTAATAATAATGACAAATGTGGGAAAGAGACTTCGAACAAAATTAGTGAAAACATTACCAGCTGAGCCGTCCCAGCTCGCTGGAAGGGTTGTACTTTTGTTTGTTTGTTTGTTTGTTGTTTAACGCCGCACTCAGCAATACGGAAGGGTTGTACTAGCAATCTGTACATAATTAATGATCACTTTTACCTTGTATCAAGTCATATAGTAAAAAGGATAACATGATCGATTGATAAGTATAAAACATTACTTCATTTAGCAGAGATGAGACACTTTTTTTAACACTTACAATCAGCCCTGGATATAACAAACTTCTAGTAACCAGGCCCACACGTACTTTCTCACATGATTTAAAAATAGCTTATCACCCGAGTGAGCAAGTACGTGAGTTAAAATTTAACGTCGCATCGGCATTATTTGATCCATATAGCGACGAGGACAAGTTGATATGAACTAGTATACATGTAAATCATGAGAACACGAGGATGTGCATGAGATTCACTGAGGCGACAGACTTCTGAGGCTACATACAGAGTGTATGTGTACGGTCTTTGATGCTACCACCCCGACACCCCTCAACCTGAGGCTACATACAGAGTGTATGTGTACGGTCTTTGGTGCTACCACCCCGACACCCCTCAACCTGAGGCTACATACAGAGTGTATGTGTACGGTCTTTGGTGCTACCACCCCTCAACCTGAGGCTACATACAGAGTGTATGTGTACGGTCTTTGGTGCTACCACCCCGACATCCTCAACCTGAGGCTACATACAGAGTGTATGTGTACGGTCTTTGATACTACCTCTCCGACACCCCTCAACCTGAGGCTACATACAGAGTGTATGTGTACGGTCTTTGATTCTACCACCCCGACACCCCTCAACGTGAGGCTACATACAGAGTGTATGTGTACGGTCTTTGATACTACCTCTCCGACACCCCTCAACCTGAGGCTACATACAGAGTGTATGTGTACGGTCTTTGGTGCTACCACCCCTCAACCTGAGGCTACATACAGAGTGTATGTGTACGGTATTTGGCGCTTCCATCCCGACATCCCTGAACCTGAGGCTACATACAGAGTGTATGTGTACGGTCTTTGATTCTACCACCCCGACACCCCTCAACCTGAGGCTGCATACAGAGTGTATGTGTACGGTCTTTGGTGCTACCACCCCGACATCCCTCAACCTGAGGCTACATACAGAGTGTATGTGTACGGTCTTTGGTGCTACCACCCCTCAACCTGAGGCTACATACAGAGTGTATGTGTACGGTCTTTGGTGCTACCACCCCGACATCCTCAACCTGAGGCTACATACAGAGTGTATGTGTACGGTCTTTGATACTACCTCTCCGACACCCCTCAACCTGAGGCTACATACAGAGTGTATGTGTACGGTCTTTGGTGCTACCACCCCTCAATCTGAGGCTACATACAGAGTGTATGTGTACGGTCTTTGATACTACCTCTCCGACACCCCTCAACCTGAGGCTACATACAGAGTGTATGTGTACGGTCTTTGGTGCTACCACCCCTCAACCTGAGGCTACATACAGAGTGTATGTGTACGGTCTTTGATACTACCACCCTGACATCCCTCAAGCTGAGACTACATACAAAGTGTATGCATACAGTCTTTTACATGCCACTTTGTGTCAATCTCTATCTTGTGTTAATATTCCCCTCGTGACTTTGAAAGAATTAAAAAAAAACGTTTTTGAAATCCTGTGTCTGCAGGTGTACCTAGTTTGTGCTGTATCGTTTGACTAACTCGACACTGCACAAATGGAGGAGCAGACGTCAGTTTTAGTTATAATGTTTCTTTGACAAAGCAGAGAGACCCAAAGCAATTGGCTTTGATATCGATTTGTGACACAAAGTAACCCAACTCTAATTCGTTTTCACTGGAATGTCTTTCTCAAAAGTTTTCGCAAGCAGTTCTGTTTAGAACACCTCACACGAGCTGCCGTGCCATCAACCAACGACGACATATCGCACAGGAAACAAGTAAACATAATGTATATAGTGTAGCTATGGAAACATCTATCGGATCAGCGAAGGGATTAACACCTAGATGGTATTGACCGTGCGATGTTAATCAGACAAACTGAATAATCAGCAACACGAAATGACAGACATTGTTCTTATACAGTCGGACTAATTTGATGTAACGGCAATAACGATTACCATACAAAATGAGATGGCGGGTTCCTATCCGAGCTCCACACCAGTAAATAATCACATATTTATGACAGTCCTTCCGAAATCACCAATCTTCTTGTAGGAGATTGGCAAAGAACCAACCCAAATTACTCTTCAACGCAAGCGTAAACTGAAAGACACCGGTGCATTGTGGTCCCGTTTGTGTGCTCGTGGCTTCCCACTGTTGATGTTAACTTGAATTAAAACTGCACCTACCTCGCGCTTGATATATTCCACAAACAAAAGCCAGTGCAAGCAGTAACCACGCCATTGTCCCCGCTGTGAGCTGCCGTCTGCTCGTGCTTCTCCCGCCCTTCCTTCACACAGCAGACAAGATGAGGCGCCGATCGATAGAATTTATTCCACTGAATGTCTGCGATGTGCGAGTTCACCGCCTTCACTGAACTGTAACCGTGGGTCAGTGACAGTCAGTTTTAGGCTTCGTGTACGTCTGTAATTAAATTGGGAATATTTATGAATGCAGAAATACTGACCGCAGATCCATGTACGCCAGCTCAATACCGTGCTTAACGTGCAATTGAAGAGAGATCCAAAACCAGCTATTTTTAGCCAAACGACTATTCCGCGTTCTTTTGCATATTTAATGAGATGGCATGTTTTGGTGACATGCACGCGCCACGTGCTGTAGGGCAGACGGTCTGCATGAATAACGAGTGAAATGGCGGGGGTTCCTGAAAAGCCCTTGATCAATATTAGAACCTGCTAATTTATTTTGGTCAATGGCGTGGTCACTTGCTTTAGATCGATTCGGATAATAAACATTGGTTTAAGTGGGATCAGGTGCTTGGCCAATTACTGCACCTTGCATTGCAATCTGCGTCATGGTAATCACTGAATACATCAGCGGAGTTGTGTCTTGTTTAAAAGATTAAGTATGCAACAATTTTGATACCGTTTATCTTAAAAACAATTTAAATCTTAAGAATTTTAAATCGTAAGAACTAATATTCAAGATGTATTTTACCATTAGGCCACGAAACGGTTCAATGGCACCATCACACACACGCCTTAAGTGAATATATGTTTTTAATGACAATATATATATTTTTAAAATATTGTATTTGGTTCATTTATCACATTCTCATAGATTACCAACTTCGTTTGGAGTTGGACCTTAAGCGAGAGGTCATAACTGCCATACACCCGAATTACCAGATATAATATAATAACTTAATCAAATAATAACGATACCACAAGCAATAGATTTTTTGTCGAAAAGATGAAGAAATTCCGAAGAACAAATAATCCTTCTTTGCGGCCGTACAGGAAATTCTTCATCAATCACGGGAATGATATTGATAGTTCTTGGTGTCACCAAGTCACTACCCAATCCGTTGTCACTTATGGGTTGTTGTCACAGATAGTTAATGGTGCGTCACAGTCACCACCTAGAAGACCTAAGGGGATCGTGATTAATAAGTATTAAGTGAGTTCAGTCACCTCCTTACTGGCTATACATACAATGGATGGCATACAAGACATAAGTATTAAGCGTTTCTGTATTAAGTCATCGTTCTTGAGGCTGTATGTGTCGTCCATGCATTGCCTCTTACCTCTCGCAAGAGCTGAGACTTGAGCTCTGGTGAATACTCTGAAGATGAACGGTACATAGACGATACACATCATGATGTTGTCCTAACAGGTGACGACATCTTGCAATCACGGATGCTAAAGATAATGAAGCTGTCGTACCTGGAGACTGTAGTCCCCCACCTTCTTGGCATATTCTGCAGGTAGTTGAGAGGTGTTGGGAAAGTCCGGATCTCACACCAAGTGTTACTTATTGTGTGAGACCAAGACACTATCTAACCCATTGTTACTTAATGCTGATTGTTACTTGTCGGTGTCACCAAGTCACTATCTAACCTATTGTTACTTAATGGTGATTTTTACTTGTCGGTGTCACCAAGTCACTATCTAACTCATTGTTATTTAATGGTGATTGTTACTTGTGGGTGTCACCAAGTCACTATCTAACCTATTGTTACTTAATGGTGATTTTTACTTGTGGGTGTCACCAAGTCACTATTTAACTCATTGTTACTTAATGGTGATTGTTACTTGTGGGTGTCACCAAGTCACTATCAAACTCATTGTTATTTAATGGTGATTGTTACTTGTGTGTGTCACCAAGTCACTATCTAACCTATTGTTACTTAATGGTGATTTTTACTTGTGGGTGTCACCAAGTCACTATTTAACTCATTGTTACTTAATGGTGATTGTTACTTGTGGGTGTCACCAAGTCACTATCTAACCTATTGTTACTTAATGGTGATTTTTACTTGTAGGTGTCACCGTGTCACTATTTAACTCATTGTTACTTAATGGTGATTGTTACTTGTGGGTGTCACCAAGTCACTATCTAACTCATTGTTACTTAATGGTGATTGTTACTTGTGGGTGTCACCAAGTCACTATCTAACCTATTGTTACTTAATGGTGATTGTTACTTCTGGGTGTCACCAAGTCACTATCTAACTCATTGTTACTTAATGGTGATTGTTACTTGTGGGTGTCACCAAGTCACTATCTAACCTATTATTACTTTATGGTGATTGTTACTTGTGGGTGTCGCCAAGTCACTATCTAACTCATTGTTACTTAATGGTGATTGTTACTTGTGGGTGTCACCGAGTCACTATCTAACCTATTATTACTTAATGGTGATTGTTACTTGTGGGTGTCACCAAGTCACTATCTAACTCATTGTTATTTAATTGTGATTGTTACTTGTGTGTGTCACCAAGTCACTATTTAACTCATTGTTACTTAATGGTGATTGTTACTTGTGGGTGTCACCGAGTCACTATCTAACCTATTATTACTTAATTGTGATTGTTACTTGTGGGTGTCACCAAGTCACTATCTAACTCATTGTTACTTAATGGTGATTGTTACTTGTGGGTGTCACCAAGTCACTATCTAACTCATTGTTACTTAATGGTGATTGTTACTTGTAGGTGTCACCAAGTCACTATCTAACTCATTGTTACTTAATGGTGATTGTTACTTGTGGGTGTCACCAAGTCACTATCTAACCTATTGTTACTTTATGGTGATTGTTACTTGTGGGTGTCGCCAAGTCACTATCTAACTCATTGTTACTTAATGGTGATTGTTACTTGTGGGTGTCACCGAGTCACTATCTAACCTATTATTACTTAATGGTGATTGTTACTTAATTGTGATTGTTACTTGTGTGTGTCACCAAGTCACTATTTAACTCATTGTTACTTAATGGTGATTGTTACTTGTGGGTGTCACCGAGTCACTATCTAACCTATTATTACTTAATGGTGATTGTTACTTGTTGGTGTCACCAAGTCACTATCTAACCTATTGTTACTTAATGGTGATTGTTACTTGTGTGTGTCACCGAGTCACTATTTAACTCATTGTTACTTAATGGTTATTGTTACTTGTGGGTGTCACCAAGTCACTATTTAACTCATTGTTACTTAATGGTGATTGTTACTTGTGTGTGTCACCAAGTCACTATCTAACTCATTGTTACTTAATGGTGATTTGTACTTGTGTGTGTCACCAAGTCACTATCTAACTCATTGTTACTTAATTGTGATTGTTACTTGTTGGTGTCACCAAGTCACTATCTAACTCATTGTTATTTAATTGTGATTGTTACTTGTTGGTGTCACCAAGTCACTATCTAACCTATTGTTACTTAATGGTGATTGTTACTTGTATGTGTCACCAAGTCACTATTTAACTCATTGTTACTTAATGGTTATTGTTACTTGTGGGTGTCACCAAGTCACTATTTAACTCATTGATACTTAATGGTGATTGTTACTTGTGGGTGTCACCAAGTCACTATCTTACCTATTCTTACTTAATGGTAGATTAAGGCTCATGATACCAATCACTGGATTGTCTGGCCCCGACTCGATTATTAACAGACCGTCGTCATATAGCCGGACAAGTGCTTAGTGTGGCGTTAAACAACAAACAAACAAACAAACCAAATCATCAATGTAGTCCCCCTGATTGATAAAACAAATAAACAAATCCCAAAGGTGATAAATAAACGCTTCAATGATAAAACAAACAGGTAAATATAGAAACAAGCAAGTAAAAAAGAAGCTGATTTAGGCTGTAATAGACGTATCGCGTTTCATTCATCAGTTTTATGTAAAACGCTTTCAAATGGCAGTATCACTAAGTGCCTCGCTTGTCCCTGATAACGCGGCTGACATGGGCCAAGCGTTGTTCCGGGGGTAACATGCATGAAGTGTGAAGTCTCTAGAGTATACACCACTCTGCTTTATTTGCAAACCGAAATGTTGAATATTTACGAAGAACCCTTCAATGCAGAAACTATTCAAAACGTGACTTCCAGCAGATCTTTATCTAAAACCGACCAAGCTGTAAACCGGAAAATCGATGTGTAATTTCATGGGCTACCATTATGGTTGTAAAAATACAAAATCGAGGGTGGTTGTTTCCATAACGACATCGCCTGATACGCGCGTGTTACGTGTAGCGACCACCAACCCCACACATACATCATCACAACATATACTTGTTAAAACCCAGCTGCACAATCCGCGAGCAAGCTTTAAATTGACCAGTTACAAAGGGAGATAATTGAAGGGGATGGAATGCCCGCGCGCGGCTATTACCGTGGTGAGTGTTCGTTTGTAAAACTTCATTAAATCAAATTTAGCCGACGACTGAGATTCCACATTGTTTGAGAAATGCTCCAGTCTGACGGAAGATTACCCCAGCGGATGTCGTTCCATTGAAGCTAAGCCTTTTCCGGCATTTGTACAAGAGAGTTGATTGTATATTCACATTATACTATAGCAATTAGTATTGTACAGCTATGGTGTAGCTCTGGATAGTGTGGTGTTGCAACTATAAATGGCCGTACGGTGGAGCTGTGGCTGCATGTGTAGCTAAGGTGTAGCTAGGGATTGTGTGGTGATGCAACTACAGATGGCTGTACGGGGGAGCTGTGGCTGCATGTGTAGCTAAGGTGTAGCTAGGGATTGTGTGGTGATGCAACTATAGATGGTTGTACAGGGGAGCTGTGGCTGCATGTGTAGCTAAGGTGTAGCTCTGGATTGTGTTGTGATGCAACTATAGATGGCTGTACGGTGGAGCTGTGGCTGCATGTGTAGCTAAGGTGTAGCTCTGGATTGTGTGGTGATGCAACTGTAGATGGTTGTACGGTGGAGCTGTGGCTGCATGTGTAGCTAAGGTGTAGCTCTGGATTGTGTGGTGAAGCAACTATAGATGGTTGTACGGTGGAGCTGTAGCTAAGGTGTAGCTCTGGATTGTGTGGTGAAGCAACTATAGATGGTTGTACGGTGGAGCTGTGGCTGCATGTGTAGCTAAGGTGTAGCTCTGGATTGTGTGGTGAAGCAACTATAGATGGCTGTACGGGGGAGCTATTGCTACATGTGTAGCTAAGGTGTAGCTCTGGATTGTGTGGTGAAGCAACTATAGATGGCTGTACGGGGGCGCTATGGCTACATGTGTAGCTAAGGTGTAGCTAGGGATTGCATGGTGCCGCAT